CATGAAGTTGTGTTGCCAAGATGTGTTACCCGGTTAGTCCAAGCTTTCACGAACTTCTCCTTGTGGACTAGCCAAGTCCCCTCGACATAATCTAACACTTCTACATGATTTTGGTATTTGACACGCAATTGAGCTACGGTCGTGTCGTACTCATCAACCGTACCGGCATCGGCAATCACCTTCCACCCACCGCGCAAGAAACTCTGAGCTAATTTTTTTATATTTTCCAAGCAGCATATAGAGTCTGTCTTCCACATCCTTGTTGATGTGCCACGTGAAGAGTAAGTGGGCAGACTGGGGAAAGTTCCTCCTAATAGGAGTCATTAAGCCCAACTCTCTGTCAGTGACCACACATTTGGATGTACCTGAGCAGCGGCAGATACAAAAATATTAATGAGACAGAGCAAAAATTGTTGAAATATTTTTACTATATTGCACAAAATACTTTTATTACTAATAAAATTAAATATTTTATTCTTACCTCAAGGCCTATCAGAACTCTCAGCTTATGGAGAACCCATTCATAACTGGCCTCTTTCTCGTCCTTCACGAGTGCGTACGCAATCAAGAAGTTATTGTTGCACGGAGTCATGCCAATCATCTCGACCAAAGGCATCTTGTACCTGTGCAAATGAGACAAAAAAATATAATCTCATAAAATTTAATCGAACATATTAATTTATATTCATACTAATAACATATTTATAAATTAACACACCTGTTGGTTTTGTAGGTGGAATCTATGCCGACATACAAATGATATGTCCGGAATAGTCTGACTGAATCAGGATGGGCCATGAATATGTGTGTCAAGGCATTTGTGTCCGGATGAAAATCTGTATAAACTATATAGCTGCTGCTCTTAGCCAAATGTAGAAGCTGGTAGTAACGTCTCTACTCTCAAAACTCTCCTTCCGCAACATGTCTCTATAGTTATATATCTGTCGCACAGTCGCGTGATCTCCTGAATTTTTTTCCTGGACAGCGGCCAAAATATTTGCTGGTGTCACATGTGCAGCAGTCATATCACGAATAATCATCTTTGATGACTGGCTGATGCCGCTCGACTGTCGATGGCCCTCGGGATACACAACAAATGAATAATTGTGGAAGCCCTTCTCTTCGTTTAGACACTTGTGGATCATCCAAAATTGCGTTCCGGGCACCCGCTTTACTCTTATCTCAAAAGGGCACTGACACTTGTTGGTTTTCGATTTTCTAGAAGCAACATCTACCTTCTTCTTGCCTTTATAACGTTCGCCTCGTTTGCACTTCAAGATTTTCAACCTTCCTCCTTTTGTGTGTTTCGAAATAGTCAAAGTGAAACCATTCAGAATTGCCGTACTTTTTACATCATCAATCGCAGCCTCATCACTAACAAAAAATGTAGTTGTATTGAAAGCGGAACTGTAATCAATACCATCTCCTCCAAAATCTTCCAATGACACATGCAATATATTACAATATTTCAAACATGTTAAATTATAATCTATATAACATAAAATTTATAACTCCTAACACGATAATATCTAACGTTCAATTACTCCTGATGCGACTCGCGAGTTTAAAAGAGCCGAAACAGCCAAAATTCGCGACTCGCGAGCCGAAAGTCGCGAGTCACGAGGACATTCGCGACTCGCGACATCATGTTGCGAGTCGCGAGTTCAGCCACGAGTACTCTCGCGACTCGCGAGACGAGGTCGCGAGTCGCGAGATTCTAGCACTTATGCCTCTGTCCAACTCGCGAATCGCCAGCGGAAATTCGCGAGTCGCGAGATAATGTCGCGACTCGCGAGACAAAGTCGCGAGTCGCGAGTCGCGAGTTTGACAGAGCAAAAATATACAAAAATCGTGTTGCGCGACTTCATCTCGCGAGTCGCGAGAGAATCGCGAGTCGCGAATACACTCGCGAGTCGCGAGAGAATCGCGAGTCGCGAATACACTCGCGACTCCCGAATTAATCTCGCCATTCGCCAGATTTGGGTGTTTTCCTATGCTAAACTCGCGAGTCGTGAGTTTGACAGAGCCAAAACTGTCATATTCGGTTTCTAAGCGATAATATCTAACGTTCAATTTATAACATTATTATGTCGAACTCCTAAAGTCCAATTTATAACATAATTATTTCAATTGTACAACATAATAATTTCTATTTCCTAACGCGATAATATCTAACATTCAATTTATAGATACACAAATCTAATTAATTTCTAACTCCTAACAAGATAATATCTAACGTCCAATTTATAACATAATTATTTCGATTCGATAATATAATAATTTCTAATTCCTAAAGTGATAATATCTAACGTCCAATTTACAACATAATTATTTAGACTCGATAACATAATAATTTCTAATCCCTAAAGCAATAATATCTAACACATCCAATTTATAACATAATTATGTCGAATTTATACCACAATAATAATTTCTATAACAAAATAAATTCTAATAATATTTATTTGTTAAAAAAAATAAAAATAGAGGTGTCCGGTCGGTCGGACCGGACGGACCGGCTACGTCTGGCCGTCGCCGCCGGACACCACATGGGCCGTACGGTCGGTCTGACCGGACAGAGACCGGTTCGTACGACCTCTCGAACCGTCCGTCCTCCTTCAGTCCGGCCGACCCGGCCGGACGCCGTAAAGGCCGTCCGGTTCGGCTGGCCGGACAGGCCGGTTACCGTCCGATTTCGTCGGCCGGACGGAAAAAAAAATAAAAAAACCTCAGAGGAAGAGCTCATTTTGCTGTAGGGAAAAAATGAAAAGGGCGAAATCGTCCAAGGGGGCGATAATTAGTAATAAGGGGGCGGTAATTAGTAACACCCGAAAAAAAAAAGAATCACCTCAGTTGATCGAGGCTGAGAGAGAAACCAGATTTTTTTTTTCTTGATCGAGACTCGGAAAAAAAATAAAAAATTAACCGATCTCTGATACAATGATAAATATGTGAAGATTAATTCATTCACCCAAAAGACTTGTTTTTTTTTTTTTATAGATGTGCCACAACATGATGTGTGATAGTTGTGACACCAATCATAATGTGCCACATCATGTTGTGGCACCATAATATGGTGTCACATGTGGTGCCATAGTATTTTTGTGAATGAAGACCTAAAATAATATACATCAAATTTCTAAGATACTAAAAAATCTATCTATACTAAAATTACAATATTTACAAAATCACTCTAACAGTTTCAGACCCTCAAGTTTGGAATCTGAGAATATCGGCTTACACTGACGATCAGATGGTATTCACTGAAGCTGCACTCAAATCCTCCAAAGTAATGTAATTCCAATCATTACATTACTTTTTTATTTTGATAGATTTTAATTGTTTCTATATTATTTATCTTGTCATGGTCCTAAAAAATATGGCATCAAATTATCTTTCAGCTGTTCATCTCAATTTAATTGTACGATCAATTTCATACAATTTGAGATATTTCCGTTTTAAATGATTTTTTTTTCACATTTTCATACCATGAATAGTAATAATCACATTATTTATGAATCAGCCACGTGTAACTTGAAGATAACTTATAAACTATCACAATAATTCAAAAATAAAAAATAACTAATAACTAAAATATTAAATGTATCACGTATCACAAAAGACAAAATGAGATATCCTTCATTCAGATTTGTGTAGTCGGTCCTACCTTTTGGTGCATCCGCTCTCCCGAGATGCAGATTTTTTACCTGGACTCTCTCCGGACCAAGAGACATTATCTTTGTCTTACTGCCAACTATTGCCAGTTTTTTCTCTCTCTCTTTTTTTTTCTTTTTAGTTTTTGTTTTGCTTTTCGTTTTATTTTGATGTATTTCAGGCATTGTACTTGTACATTTGTGACTTATCAACCCATTTAGGGTCGTTTTATATATACAGGTTGAGAGAGAGAGAGAGAGAGAGAACATAAGAGGCAATTTGTTTCTAAGAAAATGTAAATCTAATCTGGAAAATTGCATCGAGTCTTTTTATCCATAACCGCGTTTTTTGTCGACCTTATTCAATGGGAAATGTCTTCTGGAGCGAGCTACGACGATAGAAGCCGAATGTTGGGGACTGTTTCACGGTTTGGCGTTGGCTTGGGACCTTGGTTATCGACACGTCGAGGCGGAGGTTGATAATCAAGAAATTACGAAAGTGCTGTCCGAACCGGCTAATGGGCATGGACATCACGTTGACGCTTTAATTCGGGCAATTTGTGATCTTCTTAAGAAGGATTGGTCGGTTAAACTTACTCATATTCACCGGGAAGCTAACTTCGCAGCGGACCACATGGCGTGTGTGGCCGAATCATATCCCGTCGGGCTCTAGAGGTTGTCTTCTCCGCCATTAGGTTTAGACCTTTGGCTTGAACATGATAATTTAGGGGTTTCATACCCTCGTCAGGTGTTACGTTAAGACTACGGTCTCCTTTATTGTACCAAAAAAAAAAATGGGAAATGTCTTCGTTTTAACAGCCTTTTTCTCAAGTACAAATATCAAAGGAAAAGAAAAATAGATAAATATATCCAATGCTAAGTGGTATGATTTTTTATTTATTTATTTATTATTATTATTATTATTATTATTATTATTTTTTTTATTTTTTTATTTATTTTTTTTTTTTTTNNCAAATGCCTAGTGGTATGATACCAAACCACTAATTCGTTATTGGCTAATTCTAATATCTTCAAATAGAGTAGTGTGTAAACTAAATCATTAAACGATTGGCTAATTCTAATATCTTCAAATAGAGTAGTGTGTAAACTAAATCATTAAACGAATAACTTTTGAGACTATGATTTCATATTAACGATCAAATTATGATGATGTACTATCACTCTTTTAGTAAAACATCAATGATATTTATGAACACTTATACATTATTTATTGATATTTATGTGAACAAAATGATATTGCATTACAACTTTATTATTGTAAGCTAAATTTGAAGTTCTCAGGAGAACTTTAAACTAAATGATAAATAATTTATAAATGTTTATTTTTTTTAATATGTATTTTTATTTATATTAAAATTAGTTTTAAATGTAACAAAATTTACTTTAAAAAATCTTACCGGTACAGCCACTGAATGATGTTGACTGGGTTTCTAGCAAACATTTTATTCAAGCGAACCGGACATGTCGATAAACCGGTTCGTTGATCCATCCAGTCAAACCGTTCAATCTAATCCGGTTTTAAAAGCAATGAGTAAATCACGATTAATGTTATTTACATATTAATTTGTAACACAATCGCAATATTGTTCCTCGACTACGTAATAGTTTAATAGTGAATGACTCACACCATTGATATCTCCTTTTATTTTTCATTATTTTTATCGTTTCATTTGAAAATGGGTGCATCTGTCTAGACTGTGAACAAATAGTTTAGTCTTACAAGGAACCGATAGGTGATCTTTCTGTTCGAAACACTTCGAACCACACTATCTCAATGTAAGACAAGGAGTATGATTGCATAAATAAATAAACTGTAAGCATATGTACTTTGACCAAAACATGATGGCCAGATCAAAATGGAATTGATAGAATCTGCAAATCGGAGCTTTTACAGCATACCTCTAACAAATACGACATCCATTACCAACTCCGAACAACAATAAAGGGGCAGGTACTATCGGACTTCATAGCCGAGTTCACGCCGGGACTCAAAGAAACGACAAACAAGCAGCCGTGGGTGATGTACGTGGATGGATCCTGCCGGACGAGCAGGCTGAGGAGTCTTCCTTGTAGATCCCTACAGGAAGCTCTTCTGTCATTCGATACAATATCTCTTCCTGAAAACGAACAACGAAGCCGAATATGAGTCATTGCCGTCCGGGCTCGCCCTGGCAGAGGCCATGAGCCTAACCGACCTCACCATATATTCAAACTCCATGCTAATGGTCAAGCAGATATCCAGAGAGTTTGAAGTGAAAGAACCAAGGCTGGTCCCGTACCTGGGGATGGTGAAGAAGAAGTTGACCAAACTCCGGACTCGAATAGAGCACATCCCCTGAACATAGAACGTGCAAGCCGACGCCTTGGCCTGCCTCGCCTCAAGTGCCAGGGTGGAAAGTGTCGAGTATGTCCAAGTCAGACACAAGGAACAACCGTCCGTGCTCGGCACCTATGTGCTAAGTTCCAGGAAAGGGGTAGAAGACCAAGACCCGGGCTGGATGGTCCCGATCCGGTTGTATCTCGAGACCGGTGCGCTGTTGTCTGACCTTAAAGAGGCAAGACAACTTCGTACTCGGGCAGCTCGATTTACGATCGTGGCCGACGAACTATTCAAACGGGGTTATTCGGCACCTTTACTCAAATGCGTAGACGAAAAGAGTGCCGAGTACATACTTAAAGAAATCCACGAAGGCATATGTGGGTACCACTACGGAGGGTACGTTGTAATATCCCGACTTTTTATCAGTATAAATTATATTTTAGTTCTGATATTATTTTTCGGAATTAATTATTTTCAGTTATTTCAGTCGAAATTACCGAAAAATATTTTCGACGTACCGTTTACGTTCGAAATAATTTTGGTAATTAAGCATTATGTTTAATTGGATAATTAAACATAGTTAAGTGATTAATTTAAATTAATCACGAGATTAGCTTAATTGTTCGGATTTTATTCCAAGCCATGCCAAATTGCCGCGCACTATTCAAGTCATGGAGGAGTTCCATTCATGCTAATGTCGTGCGTTTTCCTTGTCATGTAGCATGTTAGAGTTTTTGTTCCATTTCATGTGCAAGAGCCGTGTGTTTAAGTGTGTGCATAGGAGTGTGTGCGGTCCAAATTCATTTGATATTGCCGTGAGCTTAAGTGTAGTGTGTTAGTGCATTTGTTCAAGAATCCG